GGGGCACGGAGGGTGCTGGGGGCTGTTGGCAGGACCAGGAGCCCACTCCCATTTCGTAACCACCCCAGCCCACACCCCCAGCCCTGCCAAAAACCAGCTGGGCAGCCACTGAAGAATCAGTTGCATCCACCCCAGCAAAGGGGAAACCTTTGGTTCCCGGCCAATGCACAAATCTGGGAGCATCCCCCTGGGTCTGGACTTACCTGAAAATTCTCTGTGGAGCCTGGCTTTCAAGAAGGTGCCAGAATCAAAGTCCATCATCGCCAGCTGCCGCTGGCCAGGTGGAGGAAGAGGTTGTCATCCTTGCTGTTGTCCTCCATGTCCCCAGCAGCAGCAGCAGCAGCCCCACCTGGTGCAGCTTCTCCAGGGGCTCCTTCTTCCCTGGGGTGACACCAGGCTGTCAGGGTTCTGCCCAGGGCCCGGCTGTCACTGAACCAGGACAAGCAAAACCAGCTCAGATGGCGGCCACCAGTGCTGGGCAGAGCAGCTCAGCTCCAGCACAAGGGCTGCGTGTTCTCACTCGATGAGCCCTGTGCAGTGACACAGGCAGGACAAAGAAGTCTGGGTTTCTTTGCTTCTGATTGCCAGGGTATGTGTGGAGCTGTAACTTACCAGGTCCCTGCATCACTGTGCCCGTGGCTCTCTCCCTTCTTCTATGGCTGATGAATATCCTGCATCCAGGGATCACAGAACAGGTCTTCTAATGAGGGCCTGTCCAAGTAGTGCAGGGATAAACACCGCCTGATCAGAACTTGGCAATCTGGGGAGAGAAACCACAAACCACTGGTCAGTTGGAGAAGGCTCCTGTCTGCTTTGCCTCACTATACCCGTGCCCAGGCCACGCTGGATGTGCCCAGAGCTGGGCCTAAACTTTCCCATCAATTCTCTGTTTTGGAGGAGAGCAGGACATGTGCCACCTCCTCAGCAGCTGCCAGAGCGGGATGCTCACGAGCCCGCTGCTGTCTCCCAACACTGGTGTTCCCCCCGTGCCCAGAGATGATGATCCACCTTGGGAGAGCCGTTGTGGCAGCGGGAGCTGGGCCCAGCTGATGTTCCTGCCCCTCCTGAAAGGGTGCTTCCCGCAGACCATCTCATGCAGCAGGATGCCCAGGGTCCAGACGGTTGCTGCCTCGCCATAATACCATCTGAAGTTGGTCCATTCCGGGGGTCTGTATGATCGTGTTCCTATGGAATATGGATGGAGCTCATCAGGGGGATGCTGCTGCTCCCAGAGCCTGAGCCCAGCATCCCTGGGCATGTGGGGCTGCCCCAGTGGCACACGGGGTGACCTGCTGCCCTCTCGCCAGCACCTGGCACTTGTGTACAAACCCAGGGTTGGAAAAGAAGGCACTGGTGCTGGAAGATGGCAGCAGAAACCCTGGCAAGGCCCGACCATGGCACACAAAGGAAAAACCCGCTCACAGTGCTGGGGAAAAACCATACCCACATCCTCCCTGCTGGCATTGCCCAAAAAATATTATGAACCAAGGCAAAGCAGGGAAGCACAGCAGTCCAATCCCATTCTCACCTGCACACCAAACCAGCTGGTGCACAGGTCCTGGCTCTCCCTCTCTGCTACCCCCACCCACAGGGGATTTTGTCAGGCTGGCTGCCCCAGCCCCTGCCCCAATCCTGGGAGAATCCCTGCTGCCACACCCTGGTTGGGCCCTGAGATGTTGGGCCAGGAGATGTTGGGCCAGGAGATGCCGGGACCGGGAGCCTACTCCTGGGTGGGCTCACCTGCAAATTGAGTGTAGGCTGTGTCCTGCAGGTAGGTGCCACAGCCGAAGTCAATCAATTTTGCCTGCCCGGTGTCCAGGTCAACCAGGATGTTCTCTGGTTTGATGTCTCTGTGCAGGACCCCGCAGCTGGTGCAGTGCTGCACGGCCTCCAGCACCTGCCGGAAAAGCTCCCGCGCCTCTTCCTCGGTCAGGAACCTCCGTGCCCGAATGAAATGCCGAAGGTCCTGACACCGCTCTGGGCGCTCCAGCACCATCACGATGTTGTTTGGGAGCTCAAACCACTCCAGGAGGTGCACCACACCGGAGAAGCCTGTGGACACCTTGTCCAGCAGCACTATCTCCAGTGGTGCGCTGGTGCCGTCGGGCTGCGGGAGGAGCACGGTGCCGTCAGTGGGGCTGAGCCCGTGCCAGGGCTCGGGGAGCCCTCAGCCAGCCCGGGATGCTCTGTGCCCTCCGCTGGCCCCACGCCCGCTCTCCCTCCAGGTGTCCTGGTGGCTCCCACCCTGCCGGGCCCCGGCTCATCCCCGCCCGGCACGCCCCGGCTTCTGCCGCTGGCCCCGCTCACTCACCAGCTCGCCCCAGTGCCGGATGCGATCCCGCGGCACGCATTTCATGGCCACCTGCGAGCAAGGGGCAGCAGAAGGTTGAGCTTGATGCCCACCCCGCAGCGCCCCCGCCTTCTCCTCCGCCCCCTCCTCCTCCTCCTCTTCTTCCTCCGCCCGCCGCCGGCCCCTCTGCTCACCGGGGCACCGTCCGAGAGCCTCGTGGCTGCGAAGACGCTGCCGAATCCGCCGCGCCCCAGCAACGAACCCACTCGGTACCGCTCCTTCGGGCCCTTGTGCGCATTCCCTGGGGGCGAGACGCGGCCGTCAGCGCTCGGCCCGGGGCCAGGAACGGCCCCCGAGCGCTCCCCGACCTCCCCGGGCCGAGCATCCGCAGGCG